GTTTTGGCTTCCACTGTTGCTTTCGCACAAACTTCTGTCGACTGCGTTGCATACTATACATTGAATCAGGCAAGTCTGGTTGACCCCAGTCAGATCCAGTACTGTGTTGCACAATGCAATGAAATGCCGACTGCTGGTACCTGTCCTGAGGGTTCTCCTGTCACCGATTGCGTGCAGTCTCTGGACGCATGCAAGTTCGTTCAAGGAGGCGAGGCTGTAGACAACGGCGAAGCTGCAGAAAGTGCACCTACTGAGGCTGGAGAAGCTGGTGAAGTCGCACCTAGCGAAGCTGTTGAAGGCGGTGAAGTTGTACCTAGCGAAGCGGCTGAGGGGGGTGAAAGCGCACCCGTTGAACCTAGCGAAGCAGTTGAAGGGGACATTGTGGAGGGGGGAAATACAGACTGGGAGGTTGTGGAAGGGACTGACGAAGAGGTCGGCGGAGATGACGGTACTCCGATCGTGCCCAAGACAAGTGGTGCGGCTGTTCGTATTCTGACCGGGTCTGTGGTTGTTCTTGGGCTAATGATGTGAAGTACCTGGTGATGACGCTTTTAACATCGACGTCAAGGGAAGTCCCCTTTTTGTGTGAAGCCTACACTCATTTCAAAAGAAATATTGCAATAGAGTTAGCTACTAGATAGCAGTTGTACAACACAGTTTGTTAGTAGATAATATGTAGGCCTTTTGTGCAAATATAGTTTTTTAAGCGGAGCGGCAATTTCGTCAGCCAGAGCAATCTTTGAATCCAACATTGGAGGCGAGAATATGGGGGGGGAGAATGCAGCTGGGTGCTTTCAGGTTGACGTTAGTAGCTTTTTGAAGTCTCGAGCCACCCAACGACTATGCCCACCCACTCTCCCGGACTACCCGGCTCCTGCTCGCCATCCCTCGGCTTGTACGGTAGGCCAGTTAGAACTCAAAAACAGTTCACGGTAGCGGAAAGTACCAAACGCGTATGCCTTTCCCATCGTGTCCCCTGCCGTGCTAGAATATCCGACTAACCTCAGGGCGCGGTGCTTTGTATCGAGACAATCATCTACGGGTGTTCTCAACAGTTCCTCGTTCCCGTCTGTCTCGTGGATTGCGAGCGTTTGCCGCACCCGTGACATCCGTTTGCCACACACGCGTTAAGGGCGCACCCGAATGACATGATTGCGTCTGCAGAACGCCCTGCGGGCTATAATTTACTCTTAAATACATTAGTGCCTTCCATCGGGCCTATCTCTGGAGGAAATCGCCTTCCTCTCACCAATTGCCAGCCATCTTCAGTCTCTCGTTTGTCATCATCCATCAAGCCCAACTCAACGTCGCCGTCAGGAGTCTGCCTCTAGTTAGTCGCACGTCCTCGCACTCGGGTCTACTATCGGCTGCCATCGGCGACACCGGCTAACTGAACGACTTTGAGGTTTTCGCGGGGGCTCTCTGCGTCAGTTATGCTTGGACTCAAAGGAGCAGAAGTATTCCCCAACGACCCAGCTAATAGGCCAACCGCTTTTGACGACCAACTGTTTTAACGAAAGTTCGCCAGTTAACGAAAGTTCGCCAATTGACCATGTCTACAATCATGGTCAAGCTTTCTTGTCCACGGCTGTTTTCGCGATGGCTTGGGCCGACCCATCTGTTGGCACTCGGTCAGACGTGCCGTTGGTGGTTCTTTAGCTGGGAGTCCGTGTTGTGACGGTTCCCCTGCCACCGGCACTGACTCGCTGCGGTACGCCCCGTTTCTCTCGTCATGTCTTCTACCACCGGTAGTCGTAGTACCCGCGTGGTCATCGATAAGTCCCGCCAGCAGTCCAGGGGGTCACTTCCCCCTTTCAGGTCCGCTCCGCCGTTTCTGAGACCCTCCGCCGGTCCGATGCTACCTACGGCTCTGGTTCTGATGCGGTCTGCATTGTCGGGACTGCGCGGCGTAAACTGTTGCCTGATCTGGCTCCCCTCGGCCCGCCGCCCTTGTGTCCTGTTGATCCGCCAGCCGCTCAAGCTCCTCCGGGCGTTTAGCTGAGGCCGTCGTCGCCCCTTCGTCAGGGCGGTGTGTGTCGCCCTGCCTTCCTTAAAAAAAGGCCACGGCCACCCACTAGGGCCTTCGTTACTCCCGAAGATCTCCTCGCTGGGCACTGGCTCGCCACACGCTCACGACCAATGGGATGCACCCGATCGCCGCCAATGGTCTGAGGACAAATGCGAAGTTGGAAATCAAAAATAGCTTATGAGAATCGAAAGTAGCCTCTCAGGGGGACAGTACAGAACGGCCGGACACGGTAGTCACGAGGCCGAGTTCAAATAGCATCGGGCCAAGCTCCCTATCGACAGCTAGGGCTTGATCCTGAATTGTAGTTCATAGCCGCTAAGTCTGGGTGGAACCACCCGTACGACTTGACCTAAAGGAAAACCGCAGCTGTTGGTCACGTTGCAGTCGAGGCTCGTGATGAGGTCCTGTGTAACAATAGTAGCGTGCACATCCTTCTGGCTTTCAAGAACGGCCTTCGCAAGCTCCTGTCTCGCAGCGTGAACCGGTGGGAGCGGTTCCTCCTTGACCGCACCCGAGTAAGACTTCTTCTCTGGGCCGCGATAGAGCATCTCTGGACAGCGATAGAGCATATCTGTGGGCGAGTCCTTCCACAATACTTCACCTCCCTCGATGGAAGCCGAGTAGCTCTTCTCCTCCAGACCGCGATAGAGCACCTCAAGCACGTCGGCTGCGTCACTCACAAAGAGATTTACTCCGTTCCCCTTCACGGCCACTGCACCCAACAAGGGGGCAATTACCCCGCCACGAGTCCCTTGCGTAGTTCTCATCCTCTAAAATTTTGCCGCCAAAAAAACACCGTTGTGCGCTTTTCCATCATGTCCCCCTGCCGTGCCAGAGACCCGACCGTTTCATTGGAGACAATCCACCATACATAGATAGGCTCCGATTGTATCCCGCGTGACCTGTGGTTAGTAAGCCGTCGAGCAAATCAACAAAGGAGACCTTAGAAATGTACAGGAAGTTGGTAGTCTTATGAAACCAGTCTCGATTCGCCAAACGAGATGGATCGTCAGGTGTGGTGGCTGAGCATTTTGTAACCGATCACGAATGCGTCTTGGCTGAGTATTCAACACACATGCGGCACCGCAATACTGTCGATTTTCTTATCATGATCCGGTGGTGGTGATCGGCTCTGGCAGATTCTCCTCGGTGATCCGAACGTGAGCAACAGTGCGCGAGCTTATCGGTACGCCAGCGGTGCTCCGTCAGCAGACTGACTCATCAAAAACCCAGACTGTCCTTGGGTCCGACCACTGAGTTATGCCGACCGTGGGAGAGCGATGTACCGAACTTGGTTTCCCCACCCTTTGTTGGCCCGACGTAACGGCCGAGAAGCCATCACTAAACTTGACGGCCCAACCAACCAGCCAGCCCTATGGGCAGCCTATTATTCGTTTGGGGGTGTTGTCGGATTTTTACTGCGAATAACCCCCACAACCCACGCCAGCTCGTAGACGATGACGCTTGTAGACATCAGCTCGTAGACGATGACGCTTGTAGACATCAGCTCGTAGACGATGACGCTATTCAATACAAACCCTTGCCCGGTGGGTGAGACATAACAGCTGGAAGCCGACATTGCCCACGGACGTAACCAATATGCCCTCTCGGCTTCTCTATTGAAGGGTTGTATCATGTTGGTGTCCGTACCTGGTGTTTTCCCAGCAGTTGGCCCACGTGGCCTATCACTCTACCGCCTAAGGCCATCGTCTCAATCTCTGCGTCACACTCCTCATCTTCCGCTGGGTACCGCGACAACCAGTCCGCCATGTTGTTCCTTTCTCCCGACCGGAACCTGACCACGTCCGCTTTCTGCCGCCACTCCGGGGCCTCTCCCATTCAGACGCGCTCTGACGGTTGCTGGCATCCAGGCCCACAGCCTTGCTACGAGCTCTTCACACGTCGACACCCCGTCCAGCCCTCAAGTCACAACCAACCCACAAACACACCAAACGCGACACTCGTGATCACGTACGGGCGACTAGCCGTCACTCAACATCGGGAAGAGCTGTTTTTTGCAGGCTATCAGTGCACAATCTTTAAAGCGAAAGTTTAGCATCATGTTCAAGTTCCTCGCTTTGACTTCCACTGTTGCTTTCGCACAGACTTCTGTCGACTGCGTTGCATACTATACATTGAACCAGGCAAGTCTGGTTGACCCCAGCCAGATCCAGTACTGTGTTGCGCAATGCAATGAAATGCCGACTGCTGGTACCTGTCCTGAGGGTTCTCCTGTCACCGATTGCGTGCAGTCTCTGGACGCGTGCAAGTTCGTCCAAGGAGGCGAAGCAGTAGACAACGGCGAGGCTGGAGAAAGTGCACCTACTGAGCCTGGAGAAGGCGTTGAAGGTGGTGAAGTCCCACCTAGCGAAGCTGTTGAAGGCGGTGAAGTTGTACCTAGCGAAGCGGTTGAAGGGGGTGAAAGCGCACCCGTCGAACCTAGCGAAGCAGTTGAAGGGGACATTGCGGAGGGGGGAAATACGGACTGGGAGGTTGTGGAGGGGACTGACGGAGGGGTCGGCGGAGATGACGGTACTTCGATCGTGCCCAAGACAAGTGGTGCGGCTCTTCGTATTCTGACCGGGTCTGTTGTTGTTCTTGGGC